TAAACACCAGCGAGATGTGTTAACTACCTTTTTTTAATAACCTCAGTTACACGCTGCTTTTAAACTGGATCATTTTAACCCCACTTTTTATTTGGGTGGGCGTGCAGTGCTCTAAGTGGTCTGTGATTTAATTTCTAACATTCAAAGACTTAAAGTTACTAATTTTGTGTGACCAATGGAACAAAAGCAGAGGAGACACTGTGATACACAGGTTTGTGTGTGTGTAATGTCTTACCTCTTGGCGCCTGGGAATGGCCGTATCTTCTTGTTTCTTCAGTTGAGTGAAGGTCTGGAGCTCTGTGGCTGCCTGCTCCACCTGGTGGACACATTATGAATAACACGATTGTTATAGAAACTATGACACGGACTTGCACACCGTTTCAGGCGCCATAATAATTTACAGCCTGTAACAACACAACCTGTCAGTCCAATGCAAATGCGTTCAGTACCTGTTCCCAGAGTTCGCTGTGCTGCTTCAGGAGACCCAGTGCTCTGGACTGAAATCCTCCAAGCAGGATTTTCAGTTTCTTCTCCAGTTTAGCTGCTCTCCTGGCCTCCGCTGTCATGTGACCACGGTTCACCTATAAGGTCCACAAATACAGAGATGTCAGTGTTTAGACCAGAGCTCAAAAAGATGAAAGAGTCAAGTTTGAGAGCTTTTTCTGTGTGCATTCTCACATCCAGCTTTTTCTCCAGGCTTTCAATACGGTCTTTCTTTGATGCCAGGTTTGCTCTGGTGTACCTGTTCTGAGTAGGCAGATACAGCACCTGTGCAGACAGATAATATTAACAGTTTCAACAACAGACAAAAAAATGTAATTGGTACCAATATCGTGATATCACGAGTACAACAGTTTCCCCACATGTCATAAAGAAGTATATGTAATGCATATTGTTAAAGGTGGCACACAGCAAGCCTACTCTGCTTTAGATGCATCCTCACTGCTGTATATTCGTCCTTTGGTTTAGGTAAGGGTGTTATTTTAGTAGAGCATGGACTGCTCAAGTACAACATGAGAAAATTGTTATTACCCCAATTTGCTGAAACGCATATTATTCCAGTGGGGAGATGGGGGTGAAAAACACACAAGGCCCAGACTAGTGTTTTAGATCAATTTGGACTTGCACACCTCAGGAAACTCACTTCAAAACACTTAAGCTTCGGGGAGAATGATCGATCGAGACCTCAGCTGTGTGCCATCAAAGGCAGACTGGGTGCGTAATAACTAGTTGGGTTAGTGCACTACACTCTACTCCATCCATGTGTATTTCTACACACTAGAAGCTTCTAATTTAGAAATATGACAAATATACTGACCAAAAGGTGGTAACAAATCTCTACACCTATTTATGCTTCTCTGACTTCTCATTTTGGGTCCATGGGTGCTCACCTGTCCGTAGCATTCCTCCCACACCTGGCTGTAAGCCTCCATGCTGAGGTCACCGTGGCCCATACCTCCCTTCACCACCTCCATTTCTCCTGCCAGGACTAACTTTGCCTGTTTGTTGACACACAGGTAAACAGAATTACTGAGAGTAAACAGTGCTTTTTTTAAAGCAGAGACATCAGTGCTGCCGGGTTACCTGTTCCATCTCCTCTGTGCTAATTGGCTTGTAGGAGGTTTTTTCCAGGTAAGCAATATGTGATGCGTTGTTAGACGTAGACGTGGGGCCTCGGATTTTGCCGCGCTGCAGCTGATTGGCAGCGTTGGCTGAAGGGTGATGCAAGCAGTCAAAATGCAGCATGGTGATCATTTCCTGTTTGATGAGCTCTTCGGCCTGCTGGAGGTCAGAGAGTGGCTCCATGGAGGTGGGACGGAGAACAGACTCGTTTACCTGCAGACACGGAGGATCATAAGCACAACTGGATCCATTTAATGCCAGCTAAAGTAGACGAAATTAGTTTTTTCTTTGATCGCTTTGATTTCTGAAAGATTTGGTGATTATATTCAAATGCACATTTTCCTGCATTTTATTTAAATTATTTTAATGTTGTGATTTTACCTCAGTAGGTCTGGGGAGACTCCTCTGAACAGCAGTGTGCCGCAATTTCAACTCCTTCTCTCTTTCAGCGTCTCGTTGGGCCTGGAAAATGGCATAAAGTGAACCGTTGGATATATCTTATTCAAACTACGTGTGTGTGTGTGTGTGTGTGTGTGTGTGTGTACACACACCTGCTTGCGTGCTTCTACATCTGCAGAGTCTTCTATGAATCCCGTCTCAGTCTCGGTTTCTTCGAGTTCTTTCTCAGCATTTTCAGGAAGAACGATCTCAAAGTCGTTCTTAGGGACAGGAAGTGACATCAGACCCTGTCGCAGGTGCTGCAAGCTTTCCCTTTGCTGTGAAGAGAAGAACAGCAGATTCATTCTGTGGTGTGTTGTTTTTTTCTTAACACACAAACTGTGCATCTGCTGCCAAAACATAAAACTAATTATTTAAAGTTGTGATTTTTTTCATTGTATTTAATTTTTATTCAAGACACAAAAACAGAAAACTTGGAACTTTTCTGCAACATTCAGGATTTGTGGCACGTTACACAGATTCTTAACCGATCATTACAAATCTGTTTGTTGTGCATTCACACATATGTATTAGTGTGTTTTTTATTTTACCGTGTGTTTAGCATATGCCGGGTCAGCCAGTTGTTCCTCTGTGTTAATATTCAGTTTGTCTCTCAGTGGCGTACGGCCGGGAGTTAAACCTGGAGTCCCTCCCACACGTGGAGTCATCGCACCTCCGACTTGAGGTGTCATGCCATCTGACCCCTGACCTGGACCAGGAGTTCTGTTGTAGTTGAAATACACAAAATTATTGAAATTAGTAAACTGTATAGGAACAAGTCTAGGAAATCCTTTCTCTTTGGTGAAAATGGTTGAGTTGTGACATGGAATAATGCACCACACATTCAACAAATGCAGCTCAACAAATCTGACACAGCATTTGAGGCTTGAGTACTAACTGGTAACACATGTGTCTTTAAGCTTCTTTGTTCACACGGTTTACAAAATGTAAAAGGATAATAGCATCTGGTTTTTTGTTAGAGCCTTGACAAAGGACACTTTTGTGTTTATTACATCTTAACTTGATGCAGAATTCAGAACTCTATTTACGTGACAGAGTGTAAACCTTATGCTATGTGACGGATTAAAGGTTTCTTACCTGAATGGTGTACTGAGAACAGTGTTGGGCGTTTGTATCTGTTGGCGCTGAGGCGTCACTCCACTGAAGTCGCTCTCATGCAGCGGGGTGTTGAGGCCTCCCTTCAGAGGGGTGTCGATGTTAGTCAGAGCCATCAGGTTCTGAGCTTCCTGAAAATACAGACACACACACACACACACAGATGGTACAAATTAATTTACAGATAAATACTAAAAAACAAACAGAAAGGAATTTAGTATAATTTCAATTTAATTTAATTTAACAT